TAACAAATTCAGACTCAAATTAACATAGACAGTAGCAGATGGATGATTCTGCATGTTGTTAACATTATCTGTTTAGTACTCTTGTGTTATGTACACATAAGAAAGGACATTGTCCAAGGAGACAGATCATAAGTAATTCTGTGCCATAGAGCTAAAGTAATGAGATTTCTATAGAACTTGTTTGCTAGACCTCTGAACTATCCCCTAATCACCAAGACAACAGAAAACCCTGCAGGGGCTTCGAGCAAAGTATCAAACAGAAGGATATTTAGAGCAAGAAAGAGCTTGATGAAAAGGCACATACTGGAATCAGAGGCAGTAGTTTTCTGCAGAAGCAAAACTAACTTAACGGTCGGTGCAGGGCCTATCCCCGATGAACTCTTTGGCAAAATAACAGTGGTTCGACTAGGTGTTAAGTTACTATTTAATGATCTCTGTAGAAAGAGAAACTCATATATTCTACTTATACTTAAATAGGCATTGATAACAATTGATAATTGTTGCCTTTTTTGGCACATTTTTTAATAACATTTTGGCTGGATTTAATTAATCTTAACAATAAGCAACCAGCCGTTGCTGCCCTGTTGCTAATAAAATACACGGGGGACCTGACACTGGCTCACTTGTACCTGCAGGAGTAGGCATTGGCTGGGGACAGAAATGAAAATGAAATAATGGAGCTGGAAAGGTCATTGTCTACTACCGTAAAGGATAACGCGCTCTTCTGGATCCTAGGGTGCAACCTGGACTGAGGTCGGCCAATTATCCCAATATAATTTGCAGAAAATAAATGATGGTCCAGGTACTTAGAGTAAATCCAAAGTGAGCAGGTTTATCGGAGCAGATGAGAGCAACGTTTCATCTCACAACAGGGCATTTGTCCTGTTGTGGGCCAAACAAACTCTTCTATTGCCCAAAATGTAAGGGTGCCCAAGGCCTATGCATGACATCATCTTACTAATCACAAACTGAATACCTTATCCTTAGCACTCACTTGCCCATTCCTCTCCTTCCCCTTTTAACTAGCGGGCAGAAGCTACCAGTATGCAGCCTGGAACAGAGAATGAAGTGGATGTAGTGAGTGTAGCAGAAAGGGGACATGCCACAGAGAGACATAAGCAGGCAAAGTTAGCTGCACTAGAACTATTTTATAGTCAGTCCACACAAGTTTTGTTCCCCTGCATTCCTTCTATGTTCCCATACTTAATTCCCTCTGCACAATATTATAGAGTAAGAGCAGAGAAGTCTTGTTAATAAAAAATATATATATATATTAACTCACCAATTTCCATTCCTTCAAAAATCCTTGAAAACTGACTGCTTCAGGAAGACATTTTAATGAAACTGTTAATAGCTTTTCCTTCCCGCACCTGTATTATCTAGTCCATATGTTAATCAATGCTGGCTGCAGCCCTCTGTGTCATTGAGAAGTGGGACCCCGATTGCGCTTTTATAGTGATCTAAATCTGATAGAGGTGCAGAGCACAAGCTCCCTCAAGCAGGTGAGGAGGAACAGTGCCAAGCAGGGATATTGTTTGATCTCACTGCCAGCACAAGGAGGTTCCATTCACAGCCAGATCCAGAGCTCAGAGCCAGATCCAGAGCTCAGAAAATAATCCAAAACTACATTAATTCAATTAACAATAAACCCATGGGTCATTCCTTTCTACGTTGCAGGTATTGTACATAATTTAAATCAGAGACAGCTAATGCAATATGCTTTTAACAACAAATTATTTAATGTTTAACAGAAGTTGATTGCTTTACAGTGGGTCATAGCCCACTAAAAGTGCAATAGCATTCATTGAGAACGTTGACAGATGTATAGATCCTTTAAAATGCAAAGCCAATACAGATACAAGGCTTTAAACTGACAGGTAGATTATCAATTGTGTTTTTTTTGTTTTTGCATTGAGTGCATCATTATAAAGACAGCTATATTTGTATTTCTTGTTCAATGTAACATCTAAATTGTGTGGAGGGTATTACATAATGCAATTAGCTATGCTTCCTTCTAACCAATATCTGCCTTTTTGTTGCATATTTGCATTTTACGTCATAAAAGCACAACTATGTATCTCAATAACAGATGTTGAAAGGGAAATTATGCTAAAGAAGAATCTAGTGAAAAGGAAGCTAATTACACAAATGTGTTAATTATTCCATTAGTTTCAAAGTCATACTTTCACTACAAATTCAATTACTTGCTAGAGTGTTTAACATTGTACATGTAATTTAATATGCATTGCTCTGCATGTTAATTCAAATTAATTATTTCAATAGGCTAAATGGGTATTTACCACAAGAAATAATTTCTAGCCTTGCTTTGATTTATCTAACTGTCTGAAATTTCTTATCCATATACTCTGTTATTTTGTTGTCATTTCACTGCAACTAATTTTTTTTTTTTTTTTTAAAGGCGAACTGTTATTTCTATGGAATTTAGACCATTCAGAAAAATATTGAAAATCACTTGCAACTCGTGTTAACCTTTTTATGATATTCTCTGTTTTCTTTTCAATTTATATTATACACACATATATTAAAAAAACAAGCACGCCCCAGTATGTTAAAATGACAAAGAAATGGAGATTGAAGAGACATTAATTCAAATATATAGAAGTAGTTAAAGTTCAATAAAATTATAGTGTCCAGCATTAAGGGCACTTGCATAAGGCACTGGCATAAGGCACTGGCCCAGTTTTTAACTCAGACTTGCATAAGGTCCAGTTGTACTTGATCTCAGAACTGTTCTGGTTTCCAACAGGGATCTTTTTAACTGAGACTTGCATAAGGCACTGGTCCAGCTCTACTTGATCTGAGGACTGTTTTGGTTTCCAACAGGAATCATTTTAACTCAGACTTGCATAAGGTCTAGCTGTACTTAATCTGAGAAATGTTATGGTTTCCCACAGGGATCTTTTTAACTCAGACTTGCAGAAGGCACTAGTCCAGCTGTCTCTTCATAGATATGCATCAAATTAGTTCATCTCTATGGGGAGCATTCAGCATCTACATGCAAGACTGCAAAGTACCTCTTCTGGCCATCTGAGTGACCTCTACTAGAGGTGTTACTAGCCAGCAATATAAACACTACATTTTATCTCTGAAAAAGCATTTGCATTGCTCAGCAACAACACCTCACATTAGCTATAGCTTTTTAACTCTTTCCATAGCGAGCATGCCAATCTCAACCAGAAGGAAAATGGGTGTCAAAGTTAAAAGAAGCAATGATAGGTTCATATAGTCTAAATAAATACTATATTATCAGGTTTAATAAATTGTAAGAATAGCTTTATATGCACACTTTTATTTACAAAGATGTATGCATTGGCGATTACCTAACCAACAAACGTTAAGGGTTAGTGCCTTGAAGTTATCACGTTGTCTGGAGTCTTATTGTGTAGTGTCGGAAGGGAGAACTTGACCTTGGTGTTGGAACACAGGTACGTTTTATCTTTATTACTATTTATTTATTTTTTGTGAAGGGGCAAGAAAATATTTCAGATCCCTCTATGTGACCATTAAGAGAAGTGATGATTAATCTTGATCTGAGATAGTTATAAATATAACAATAATAATAATTTGCCATGGATGAATAATAGATCCACCTGCACTCTTTTATCTATGTTCACATGTGGGCATATACCCATTTCCACTCTGTTTTAATGTCACATTCTGTTTTCACATTCTATTCCCTTTTATAACTCATACCGTTAATCCTTAACACCCTTCTAATTATGAGTTCTACATCCAGTGACTTTAGTTCTGCGTGTAATGAACAGATGCACACACCATACCAGTTAATAACGGAAGAGAGAGTCAAACTTGCTTTAAGCCTGTTTAGTTCCTGTATGCTTTCATTCATAGAAGATAGGAACACTAGGAATTCTAAAATACCATGAGATTTGTTTCAAATCTTGTTTAAGAACATCATAATGTTCAATGTGTTCATTCCCATCAGTGCAAATATATTACATAAGCAAACCTATATGCTACAGATTACCTCCATGCTGATATTATAAAGCTACTGGAACCAAAATGTTATTAATAATGCTATTTCTACACATAGTCTTCTGGTGTTTTGCTACATACTCATCTGTGCTCTCTTCATAGTACCTTTTTTATATGTAATTTTTCTATTAAATTAAATAATAAGAGAACAATTAAAGATAAGTTAAAATTTCACAGTATGGTTATTGATAATTGTAGGTGGGGGGGAGGTTTAAACCTTTCAACGCATCACACATAATCCAATTAAGCTATCTTTAAACAGATGTTTTGTTTTGTTTAGCATTTTCTTTTGTTCCCTTCTATGTTTTTATATAAAGGCGTTGAATTAGAACACTATATAGTACCAAAAAACTTTGATTGAAAAGTATATTAAATGTGTTTCTGTATAGTGCCACATTTTACCTGTTATAACTGAAGGCTTTGAACATCCAATAAATCATTCTACACTAATCAGCTGCATATCTAAATCAATTAACTAGACTTGTGTACGGTGGGAAAAGGTGGTTTTGTCAAATCACTTTGTCTGAAAAAAAAATATATATATATTTTTTAAAATTCTTTATTTTTGTGTGCAAAAGATTACAGGCGAGTTTTTATTACCTCAACAGCATAAACAATCAACACATTGTTTTGAAGTTTGAGACAATAATATGGCAATTGTAGGTACTGCACATTTTAAAATTATGATAAGAGAGAACTATTGCGTAGACATATGGTGAGAGTAGTAAGTGGATCAGTGTGCAAGCTAACATGTCTGCAGCTAAAGAGAATTTAAAACAGTAATGGTAGCATACTTTGAATTGTTAACAGGCTTATCTCAACAGGAGAACTAATGGCATGCTGCCCCTAGGAGGCTTCATGCTGGTTGCTTGGTTAGATAGAGAGTAAGTGCCTGGTAGGTGAGTGGATGTCTGCCAGAAAATGGTTACTGGTACTTGGGCTGTATTTGTGAGAGGCAGTCAGAGTGATGAGGAATAAGTCTACAGTCACCCGATGCCAATAGTTGGTAGATCAGAGTGCATGAATATGTAGGGACACTTCAGGCTCTGGGACCCAGGTGAGAGTCGGCAGGTTTGATCAGAGACCGGGAGCAGGGATCTCCATGACACCCTCGGCTTGTTGCTAGGTTCAGGCGACCTCCGTACTGCTTTTAGTGCAGGTGAGTTCCGCCGCTTGCGTCTCCGCCATTTTGGGGCCCTCACTTCTGAAACTATTGTGGATAACCGGTGGAGCTTTGATGCCCGGGGACTGTGTGGAGGACCCTGCAGGCACGGTGGTGTCTGGAAAGGTATTCTGTCCTCCAACTGCCGCCAAAATTTGTCGAACTGTTCCTTGAGCCTGGACTCAAAGTCCGAGAGTAGGTCGATGATGCTAGTGGAACACGTGGTCTCCGCCATTTTACATGGATTGCGGAGGTGTTTGTCCGCGTGGATGGCTTCCACTTGTCCGCGTGGATGGCTTCCAAAGGGGGGGGACGGGATTCCTGTTGACAAGCAGCTTCCCGTGCGCACCCCCGGACCAGGATATCGGCTGCTTCTCCCACCCGGGCAGCACCAGGCCGCATCCTCATAATGGAAGGTGGAAAGCTTCCTGTAGCCCCTCGTCCACTGTGAAACATGACAGGCAGGTTAGTAGGTAATAGCTTCTAAATCTGTGTCTCAATTGGAGCAGATTATGCAGGTAGATTCAGTATTATGTTAGTGTAGTGGAGGAGCTCACTGGAGATGCGTCTTTCCTCCATGCCTGTCAGGTCCCGCCCCCCAAAATATATATTTTGAGTAGATGTCCATGCAAAATTTTCAGATAAACTTTTCTGACAAACCAAAATGGAGTTAAAATGGTTCATTTAGTGTACTGCAGATAGATAGACAGACAGCCAGACATACGTACATACATACAGACAGACAGAAAGGTAGATAGATAGATAGATAGATAGATAGATAGATCCATCCAGTAGACCGATAGGTAAATTCTTTGTACCATTTGGCTCAAAGATCAAGAAAAAGTAACCAAGAGAGTGGAAAAAGGGAAAAGCAGTAAAAATCAATTTATTATATATTTATATTCTCCTTATTTATTATCTGTGTATATATATATATATATACAAAAAATAAATAAATAAGCAAGGCACTCCTCCTAAAATTCTTCTTGTAGTGAGTCAAATGCCTGGGTGCAATCCCGCGTCCCAATATACATAAATCAATAAGGGGAGCACACCAGGACTTCAATATAGTGCAAAAAGTATTTACTGTATCCAAAGCATGGTACAAATTCTGTGCAAAGAGAATCAACGTTTCGACCCTGCTGGGGTCTTTATCAAGATCTTGATAAAGACCCCAGCAGGGTCGAAACATTGATTCTCTTTGCACAGAATTTGTACCATGCTTTGGATACAGTAAATACTTTTTGCACTATATTGAAATCCTGGTGTGCTCCCCTTATTGATTTATGTATATATATATATATATATATATATATATATATATATATATATATATATATCTCCTCTTTCTGTCCCCTCTATTGGTCACTTCTTGCTTGATCTGTGAACAAAATCAACGTTTAGTGGCTGTCTCATCACTCATCTCTTTTTTCCCATCTTTCATTCCTTTTTTTTGCTCTACATGCTGAATACTAGTTATGAATCAAGTAAAAATTAATTTTTTTATAGTCCGTTTTTTTTTGTTTCATGATTCAGTCATATGGTGCTTCAGAGTTACAGAATTTGTATGACCCGCTTGCTTTTTAAATACGTTTTTTAAATCCCTGGGGTAAGTACATTGGAGAAAGATTTTGTTCTACATCTCAGGTGTGAGAAATTTATTTCTAAACAAAGTGTTTTGTGTCCAAATTAAGAGCTGTTCATCTTAAAGAAGGACATGTGGGAGGTGTGATGCTGGTTTGTTTTATTGTTAATATCAGACTGTATTCCAAATGGAATTCAAAGATCAAATTGACTGAGTTCAGTGATATAATGTATCACTTTTCTTAGGAAAGAGCTTGTTAAATATAATATTTATCCCCTGCAATATATAACCTGCAATATAAACAGTAACATTAAGGAAATATTAAATTATTTTTACATTGTCAATTGAAACAAAACAAAACATTTCCAGAAAATGATTTGCAAAATGTAGGAAATTAATTAGGAAAATAATAGAAATTACTGCTTTTGACATCAGACAGCAACATAATATTTATTGCTTAGTAATTCATGGGTTAAACCAAAATTATTTGTCATCCCCCCCCCATCTTTCATAGCTGGAAAAGGTAATTATGCCTGCAAATCACAAAATCATTCTGTCATATTATCTAACTCCGCATGTCAAGGCACTTATTGCACTTCAAAATAATGTGCGATAATTTTCAAGCATCATTAGCTTAACATAGTATTTGGATGAGTAAACCAAGAATGGAATTAACTTGACATTAAATACAAAAAAGGATCAATAATAACGTTAGAGATAGGCTCTCCTGTATTCCAAATTAATCTGTGCTCTTTCAGAACTAAAACAAATTTAAAAAAAATATTGAGTGATTGCCTTTGGAAAAAAAAAGTTTATTTTTCAAATCGATTTAATGTAATACTGAGCACAATTAACCTATTCAGCAACAGAGACCTGCTGGTCTTTGTGCATTCATGTAGGGATTTTTGCAGCAGGAATTCATAAGGATAGTTTTATGTATTAGTTATAATGCAGCCCTAACAGTCTATAAATACAATCCAGTGTCAGACATATTGGCATTTTATAATGTGCCAGTGTAATTGCTGCAAAGACAGTTTGAGAAAAAATAGGAAAGTATGCCTATAGCTATGAATATAGACTATAGATTTTAATAAATGGTTTTGAATAAAATATAAAAAAAAGGGAAAAAATAAGAATTCAAAAAAATAGTTCTATGTGACATTCTAACTGTGAATGTCATAATACTGTTTGCTTTTATTGCAATAAAATACACATATTTGTATTCAGCAATGTTTCACGTATAAAACAGTACCCCCTATGTACAGGTTTTTTGGTGTTTTGGAAAGTTACAGGGTCAAATATAGCATGTTACATTTTTCAGTTTTTTCACATTGAAATTTGCCAGATTGGTTATGTTGCCTTTGAGACCGTATTGTAGTCCAGGAATGAGAATCACCCCCATGATGGCATACCATTTGCCAAAGTATACAACCCAAGATAAATGGGGTATGTCCAATCTTTTTTAGAAGCCACTTGGTCACAAACACTGACCAAAGTTAGTGTTAATATTTGTTTGTGTGTGAAAAATGCAAAAAAACAAATTTGAACGCCAAGTGACTACTAAAAAAGACTGGACATAAAACCTGTACATGTGGGGTACTGTTATACTCGGGAGACTTCGCTGAACATAAATATTAGTGTTTCAAAATAGTAAAACATATCACAACAATGATATTGTCTGTGTAAGTGCCATTTGTGTGTGAAAAATGCAAAAAAATTCACTTTTACTGACAATATCGTCATTGTAATACATTTTACTGTTTTGAAACACTAATATTTGTGTTCGGCAAAGTCTCCCAAGTAAAACAATACCCCCCATGTACAGGTTTTATGGTGTCTTGGAATGTTACAGGGTTGAACGTAATGCTAGCAAATTAAATTCCGTGGACTTTTGGCCCGGGTTGTCAGGCAGTGTCACGGTAGTTTACCCCTACACGCAAGATTTAGTTCAACAATCGACAGATAGAGCAGATACGACTTACCAGACCTTAGAATGACCGGACTCGCCGTATAGCAGAGAATAGACAGAGTCAAGAACAAGCCGAGGTCAAGGGAACAAAAAACTAGCCAAGGTCTGGTACACAGTAGTCAGTAAGCCGGCAAACAAGACAAAACAGGGATAGAGAGATAAATGGAGTCAGATACAAAGCCAAGGTCATGCACGAAAATCACAACTGAACACAACAAGCGCTAAAGGGAACTGAAACAGAAACCACGATAGGGCAGGGAGTTAAGGGTGCGGTAAGTATAAATACCCTAAACTTTACTTTGATTGGCCCCTGTCATATCCACGCCCCCAAAATGTGAGTGTCTGGGGAATGTGGGATGACAGGGGCCAATGGGAGCACATTTAATCTTTTGGCTCCCACTGCCCCTTTAAGAGCGTGCCCAAGACGCGCGGCACGCTCTTAGAGCTAGGTGGGATCCGTGACCGCATCTCGTGGTCCGTGCCCGCCTTCATTCGAGAGCCGCACGCAGCGGGAAGTGAGGACCTCGGCCGGCCCCCGGGTAAGGTAAGTACCGCTAATTGTAATTAATCAAATGACCTAATTATGACATTTTATTACATAAATATATATGTAGACGTATTATATATATATATGTGTGTGTATATATATATATATATGACTATAATTTTTTTAAATTATTTTTATTTATATATAGGTATATATAGTGATATATACGTATATACTTATGTAAATAGATATATATATTATTTCTTTCTACATGTATTTTAATATCAATATATATATATATATATATATATATATATATATATTAATTTTAAAATACAGTTTGAACGAATTTACACATATATATATATTTTATTTTTATTATTTTTATTATTTTTTATTTTATTTTTTTGCATATTTACATATTTATTTTTTTATATTATATATAAAATATATATAATGAAAATTATATATATTTAATCAATATCATTGTACGTGTATTTTGATATTAATATATATATAGTTATATATATATATATATATATTAATATTAAAATACACTTAGACAGTGTATGTGTATGTATGTATATGTGTATATATATACTTAGATCATATATTTAATAAATATATATACATATATATATATATATATATATATATATATATATATATATGATCTAAGTATATATTTTATTCTAAACTGTTATTAACTTTATTTTTTTACTATTTCCAGGCAGCAGGGGAGTACCTGTCATTAGGACCTCACAATCACATGGCCCTGGGGGGCCAAAGAGGACGGAAAGGACGGTTTGGGCATTCTATGCCGCCCTCCGGCGTTTAGAGCCGGTTCCCTAAGGACGGCATAGAACGCCTGTCGTCCTTAAGGGGTTAAAGAAGTATATTGCATAACTGCAAAATGAATAAAGGGGATGAAGAAAGCCTAGAAAAACTGCATTTGTTTTCTACAGAAACAGTGCTAACTTGTTCTTTAGTAGGAATATAGAGACAAAAGATCATCCATTCAGACTGGATGAATGGTGTATTTGCTTGGAACAGACTAGTGTTTTTAGCTAATAACAATAAAGAGGTTGCCTTTTTTTTTTTTCTTTTTTTTTTTTTTAAAGGCTTTGACTTTTTTTTAAACAAAATATTCAAGCTGTAACATGTATGTGCGTTATTGAGCCAAGGTAATTTATC